CAACATGAGGGAGATCAAATTTCAGCGGAGGCAAACGGCAGCGCAGACTGTGTTTGTTTACTAAACAGTTCATGTGTCTTTGAGGTGACAAGAGGAGACATGGCAGTCCGTCTCTCAAGAAAACTGCACCAGTATGGTAACAGTTTGGATTCGAAGCCCTGAAAGAAGTGCCCTAACTGGCCACGGGCGTCACAGAGCATCGTTCTGTGCTGAACTTTTGTCAGACAACCTTATGTTCCACTCAAAATTTGTTATTTCGGTCTGGTCCAGTGTTTGGCTTCACTGATTTGAACATTTATACATCAGCCAAACCCTAATTGACAGTTACAAGTTTTAGCTCAAGAACAAGCAACTGTGTGCCACTGAGTGCCAGAATATAAAAACACTACATCAGTTTTGTATAAAGACAACTTGCAAAATGTTTCTGGTTAATAACTTTGTGCAGAGAAGTGTAAAAGTTAACATTATAGTGTTACAAAAAGCCATTAATATGCCAACAAATACATAAACCTTTTTTAGAGTTCAGTGTAATAATTATTCAGAGAAAGCTTTGCAACAGGACGGTCATTGCACCTGTGTTTCTGTTTCATTCTGCTATGTCTTGGCAGCACTGAACCATATCAAGGTGATTCTGCTCATTAATTTCTCCTCTCTGGCTGCAGGTGCGCCAATCAGCCTGGTGTAGTTTTGGTTGGATTAAAACCTTCCATGCTTCCTGGCACTTCGTGGCACATATTCCATCAGACAAGAGTTTGGCAGAGCTTGCTGAACTCACCTAGTCCCAGCACCAGAGTGGACCACATGTTGATGTTCAGCATCATGTGGTTGGCACTCGTCTGGAAGCGAGCCCTCATGTGGTCCTGGGCCACACCAGTCAAACCGTCCAATGTCAGAGAGACCAGCTAACAGAAATGTTGACGTAGATCATCAAAATATAGCAACAAATCGGATTACAAATGCAATGGATGGAATATAAAGTGATATTAACTCACCAACAGAATCTCTCCAAACCCAAAAATGTGGTCATCTGCAACAGCTGAGCTCTTGTTAGGTTTGTAGAGGAACAGCGCTACACCGCTCACAATAAGCAGCACACACAGATACTTAGCAAGCGGGTACCTCTTCCTCAGTATTGTCACCCCGAGGATCATCACTGCAACAACACAACAACAGCATGATGGATGGGTTTTAGCCAAAGATACCAAAGATACCAGGGTGACATGTCTTGGTGTGTGAGTTAATCCTGCCCTGGATACAGTGTCAGGCCTTCACCCATGAGAGTGGAAAATATGGATTGTGTAAGAGTGTGTGTGTTTCCATACATGTAACAGGAGATAACCAAGCTCTGAGTGGCAAGATTAACATTCATGTGCAAACAGGACATACTGTAACTGGCATGTGTGCTCTCAACTCCACATATGTGACACGTATTTGCTTACTCATAGTGCCCTTATACAGTTTAGAAAGATATCAGAATCTGTTGTTTGTCAAAGGGGAGAGGGAGTGGGTAAACTATGATAATTTTCCTTTTGTAAAATTAAATGATGTTTGTGATATGCAGGTATCCAGATGATATGTAGGCAGAAAGCAGAAGGCTAACTAGGAGTGAAGTTATCAGATTTACCAGGTATGGGCTTGCAGGATTTCCCCAGAACCTATCAGGACAAAAATATAGCTTTAGGATACGACAGCACCAAGCATTAATAAATCCATAAGAATTATGTTAGGTGACTAACTTTGCTCCATCTGAAAAGATCAGACTTACCTGTGTGGGGTAGTTGACATACTGAAGGGCGGAGTTACTGGACACCATGGCTCCAAGATAAGAGAGGGAACACAGCCCATAGAGCCAGCTCTTGGTGAGATCCGGCTTGGAGCCCTCGAAAAACTGGATCACTGGTGACAAAGAGGAAAATCTGGCTTCAGAAATATATTTTGGATGCTTTTTTTAATTAAACATTTGTATTAGTTTTTGTGTCTCTTATATACACCACATACTCACAGATCTTAGCAAACAGACAACTGATAATGCACTGGATGCAGACCAATGTCCGGGCGAATCTGAACTTCTCCTTTTGGTCCCCCTGGCCATAATCACCTCGAGTGCTGGAAGAGTCAGAGAGAAGGCAGGGTGTTAAGTGCAACGGATTGCAGACAATGAATGTGAGCATAAAGAAGGCTACAATGGCTGTCCTGGCAGGAGTATGGGTGGTGTGCTTTCATGAGTCTTCGTGCTATGAAAAGGCCGCTCAGAGAGGAGATACCACAATGCATTAAGTTACATCTGACAGGGTCAGGTGGTGGTGGAGGTGGTGACATTTTGTTAGTGGACCAAGAATTAGCAGCAGTATTTTTTGCCTGCTTGCTGGTGTCATTGTTCAAGATTCACAAAGTACTCAGCAGCTTTAGTCAATATTTTTAAATAACAATATTAAATGAAAGTCAATCATTTAGCTTTGTGAAAGGTCATCATTTTGAAACCAGATATGATCCCTGTCAGCTCTAGTGACTTAGGTGACAACATACCATCTGTGTCATGCCTCCGTATGTGATATGCCATAGAGGCTGAGCTCCCCTGACTTCATTCACTATCTAAGTAACCACAAATAACGACAGCTGTTGTGTGTTTGATTTGATAATGGACATTTAATCAAACTATGAAAGATAATATGTATTGGAGGCACATGACATCACTACCCTATTAATGAGAGATGATGACTCAAGAGCTTCATTGAATTAGAAATTGAGACCATCTGCTCAATGCTTTCTAATATGACCAAATGTCACACCAAACTCCATTCAAAAATCTGACGATTTAATGTAAGATTTGCATGCAAGATTTTCGGTAAAGTAAACGCTGTACATCTCGTATGAGATTGTATAGCGACTAAACTGAAGGCACTGGCACATGCCGTACTTAGCTGCACACTACTTATAGCTATGTCAAATTAAATAAAGCTTGTATTGATTAGGGAATTTTCGACATGCAAGCCAACATTAAATTAGCTGTTTTTTAAATGGAGTTTGGCACAGGACAGAGACGACATGTAACATGAAGCAGCCAGGTGTTACTCACATAATCTCTTGTAATATTCCGTAGTAAAAGTAACAGACGAAGACTCCGAGGAAGCAAACGATGAACCGTATCCGCATGTTGTCCCACATCGAGGAGGGTTTGCCAGCTCCCTTTCCCGCAGCCATGCTGTCGCCCACCAGCCCGGCTATGTTAACCGACACCGCTCCGCTCCCCGCGCCCCTTACTCCGACGTCCCGCTCCACTATAGCCGATGTCACGAGCCCGGAAATGGTGCTCGCGTTGTTACGTTAGGTGTGGGTCAGTGAGGCAGGTAAAGTTTTTCTCCTTCAAACCCTCTTGTGCACATTAACAGTTAATTTGCAGAGGTTGCTAACGCTACCGTGACTTCCCTGGAGCTGCACAGACAGTCAGATATCATGGCATCTGTTTATTTTCTGTCATTGTGATGGAGCTAAGATTCTCCTCCGGGACGGCTGTAAAATCAAAAACATCCCATTCCCGCTGGGGAATATGAAACAGTGCTGTCAGCAGAGTACAGCTGGTGTTTTCATTGAGCGATTAAAACCTATATTTAGTTGCGAAAAGCGGTCGCGTCAGGGAAATGAGTTTTAAGGAAGGACCTCAGTGGTGTCGACAGCTGAGCCTGAACAATTAGCTTCAGTTTGATAATTTGTATCTTGCACACAAAAACATTATGGTGTGCTTGGTGTAACTGCGTCAATCCATTGTAAAAACAGAAATGTAAAATACACTATTTTAATAAAAGCTCTGCATTTAAAAAATGTACTCAAACATTAGGTTAAAAGTAAGACTAGTAATACTCAGTGAAAGTAGCCTACTCATTAGGTCTTGGTCAGATTTACATAATCTTACATTATGGCGATTCGTTCATGTTTACATCACTTAAATTTAAAAAGTGGGGATAAATTACTTTAGATAGTGTTGGGTATCTTAACCTGTAATAATATACTATATAATAACCCATACTAAGTCATCATACAATACATCATCGACTTACAACACTACAGGTAATTTTCACTATTTCTACCGCAGGTTGAATATATATTCTGTTTATTAATGATCGTACATATTCACATATATATGTACATATCTAAGTCCTTTATATTTATACTGTGTAACATGCCTGTGCAATTTCCTATTGTGCACTATTTTACCACTTGTACTGTACAATAAAATGTGTGGACTATATTTCTACATCTTTACAGTAAATATAATACATAGTATGTGTGTATTTCAGTTATCCTGTGCATCTATCAATCATGGACATACAGTATCTGTTTAAGTGAAAGATGTGTTTAGTTCATATAGATTATATATTATTTTTATTCTGGTTTATTGATATTCTTGTAATATTTTTCTTATCAATTTTTAGCATTCAATTACTTTTTTACTCCTTTTTTTGCTTGCTCCTGACTCTTGAGCTGCTGTAAGGTGTGAATTAATGAAGCCTTATCTTAAAATATATTAATTAATTTATATTTTGTGTTGATAATCTAGATCCTAAAAGTAAATAAAAGCTGTCAAATAATTGTAGTGAAGTAAAAAGTGCAGTATTTACCTCCGAAATATAATTAGTTAGAAGTATAAAGTAGCAGAAATTTAAACACTCAAGTACCTCAAAGTTGTACACACAGTATACTTGAGTATCACTGCAGAAATGCGAATTGTTTTTGTGATAATGGACTTAAATTGGCCGTGTTATATGATATGGCAATAGCAAAGACAGCTATTACAAAAACACGAGGTCCTTCCTTGAAAAAGTCGCGTGCCTTTTTGTCGTCCTAGGATGTGGATTAAATTCATTGGTCCATGTCAGGCAACAGCGATCATCTCTTGTCCAATCACAAAGCAGATTTTGGTGAAAAGGGCGGTGCTTCGATTTAAAAACCGCAAATCCACGTGTCAAAGGCAAGTAACAACAACAAGAACAAAACCACAGGAATTATAAGTAGCATTTACTATATTTGACCGCCCAGACAATCTGGGTATTTTATTTTTCTTCACAATGGCAACAGCACACTAAACAAAACATGTATGAAAAGAGTGCAGAAACAGGTCAGAGAAAATAATACCTCACAAATAATACCTATTTTCTCAACTATAGGTATGTTTTGTAATCAGTGTTGCATAGGATCATACTGACAGTGAACATTAACTTGAGCAGAGGGAAATCAGCCTCTTCCATGTCCAAGTGAATACTGAAACATTAATGCTTTCTGGCCAGAACCATATGGTCCAAAGAGGCTCAGATTATACACAAAACACTCAGCTTGACCCACTCATTCTTTAAAAAACAAAACCTACATTGCAAAAGTTTGGTTGGAACAATGCCCGCTGTTGGCAAGTAAAGCTAATAAAAACATCCTTTCCTGCTTATAAATCATTAAAGCATTAACAGAAACACATTTCTGTCAGTGAATACAAAAACAGTATGACCAGCCTCCTTACAAAGATACAAAAATATATATCTTTCCTAGAAATACATCTGTAGAAAAGCAGGCCACCATTAAACTATGGGCCAAACATATTCCTCTTTAACCAGCAGATTTCTAAAAGTTCAGGAACAAACCCATCGAGCACTTTGTTCATCAAATCAAGCTGAAAGTTCATCTAAACTTAGCAATCCTTTAATCAACACGAAAGTAGAGTAAGAAAATAATACTCAGGTTCTAAGTGCTTGGGTTTTTGACTCTGAATTCACTTCCTCTGACATTGAAAATGGAAAAATCCCTACCACACACTGCAGTCTTTGTCTGAAATGCTGATGCACAACTAAAACAGTTTTATCAAAAAGAATAACGTCAAAAACTCAGTCAGCTGGAAAGTTTTCCCAGCATTCCCTGAACTTCAGTCCTGGAGTTCATCCACAGCCCACATGGGGAAATACTAAGTGCTGATGAGCTAAATATCAGTTTCAACAAGGCATCCTGCAGGTGGAAATAATCAATACAGCAGCCCGATTAGGCCAAAGTTAATCTAAAGTATGTCTCAAAGTCTTTTGACATCACAGTGATCATGGCACGTTACAGTAGGCAACCACAGGTATCTGCTGGCATACAAAACATTTCCAGTTCCTGCAGGTCCTGGCAGTGCATCAGTGTGGTGTAGTCCTGAGGGGAGGCTCTGCTCAGATATCCACCTACTGCATGCCCAGGTGCCTGGTAGGAGAGGCCTGACCTGGGCAGCCAGTGACCGGAGAGACTGACAGGCCGCGGAAGAGGAGGTCCATGGAGGGCAGGAGGGGCTTCAGGAGACTGACAGGGCAGAAAGCGGAGCCTCCGTGGGGGGTAAAGTTGACTTTATTGGGGTCAGGGCAGGATGGCTGGAGGAGAGGCTCATCCTGACAGGCAGCCCTGGAGGTAAAGAGAAGGAGGAGAGTAGTTGGCATGTACCCCAAGACTCTGAATCAACAAGGGCTGCAAAAACTTTGCTTTTGTATAGTTTAATAAATAATACATTATTCAAAATTCAAGATTAACTTTAATCTCCCACAGAGTGAAAATTTTGTCTTGGACTTTTCATCCCCATGCTGTAGCCATAGAGAAAAAAAATCCACATACAAAAAACATACATTTAAAAGTAAATAAATAAAAAAAACTTGTTAATAAAGGAAAGAAAAGACAGAGAAATTCTAAAAACACAAAGGCAAACAGAAAAAAGCTGCTAATCTGCCATAATTTGACACAGGGATACAATTAATGTTTAGATCTAATTAACCAATGGATTCATTTAGTCTTGAAAATGCAGTGCTAATTATTCCAAAAAAAGGGAAAAAGAAGAGATGACTAGAGTTCAGGCATCGCCCCTATTAACGAGGACCATTGTTCATTAGACACTGCTGTTATTTTTTTCCATATGAAACTCTTTTTACCTTATCTCTCCACTTGTTTATGCTGGGAGGCTGTTTTAGTCTTTTTTGCCATCAGGAGCAGAATCCTCAGTAAATTAATTGTTTCTCTATCTGTCATATTATCTGGAGTAATACCTAGTATGAACAGTGCTGGGTCTTAGATAAAGTCATTTATCCATTGTGGTCTTTTCAGTAGATTATGGGCTATGTGCTGATCTCGCAGGCGGAGTCCGGAAAGCAACATCACCACAGCAGATGTGCTTATTATTGTTGACTATGGACATGAAAAGTGATGTTAAGTATGGATAAGTATGTGAATATTATTGCAAACACCTGTGTAGGGGATGTTAGTGGAGTTCCAAAGTAAAATTGTTGCCCCCTTGCAGCTTATTCCAGCCATAGTGACTAATATACAATTATATCATGTATGCATCATGTTTTGGTCTGACTTACATCGCCTCTTCGCACACTCGTACTCTCTCGCAGCCTTCCGGTGGCTCGCGCGGGAAGCAGTAGCTTTTGTTTGGACGAGGAGCGGAAGAGCATGGCTGCAACAGAGGAGGATCCAGTGCAAATGATGGGAGCGACGTCGACGGAGTGGGACACAGCGTCTCACAGTGCACCCGCTCTGCAAGGAAGGGCAGAAATATCCAAACTTTTAATAAAACAAAAATTACACACATATATCTGTTAAAACCTCTGCGTACCTGCACTGTAAAAGCACACTACAGAAATGCAGAGTTGTCTCACCTGGCTCTCCCATGGGACAGGGAGACTGTGATGGAGACAGAGGAGATGGGTTCAGAGGAGAAGGGGAATTTGAAGGTGACAGAAGCGATGGGTCTAGAGGACAGGGGGACTGAGAAGGAGAGAGGAGGGAAGGATCCAGATCCAGAGGGCCGGGGGAGGGCTCACTCTGAGAGCCACTGCTGCATCTCTGGACAGGGACAGGGGCCCTGTGGCCATCTGGGATATCCAAGATCTGGAATATTACGGAGGAAACAAGCAAAAGGGTCAGACTAGGCAAAGGAACTATAAAAGCCAGAGTGTGGCTCCCTCTCTGGGAGGGACAAGTAGAGTACAGATGACTTTTTAATTTAATTTTCTCATGATTGTAATAAGATTGTATGATGACAACAAGGTTGCTAACCTGAGCTATGCAGCTGCTCAGACATTAGGTCAAAATGTTGACATTTTAGTTTTGGATTTTTGATATCAAAGCTCAAATTGCTATTGGTACTTGAGCAGTATTTTGACAGGGGCCCAAAATATACTTTTGCCCTTAGGCCAACAGTCTCAGTATCAAAACTGAGATCAAATTATAATTTACAAATTACAAAATGGCCTTTAAATATATGGACTTTGAATGAGATTAGGCTCTTTTAGAAAAGGCAGTTACATATTAAAATTTTCCATATTCGTTGTTTATAGTTTACCACTATTGAATTTACATAGCTCAGTGGCCTCACCTCATGCTGATCGTCAGGTTTCTCAGAAACAAACACCTCCTCCAGCTCCAGGTTGAGGCCCTCAACACTACGTCGCAGCCGGGGGGCGAGTCTGTTCAGTGGCATCCGGGGAAGTGTCTGTAGAAGAACAGGTCAAATACAGTCAAGTGGAGAGGGAGTGTGCTTACTGTGTACTTAAAGCAGCTGTGTTTCTTTACTTGGGCAAAATTCTGCTGTGGTGTCTAGTTCTATACTGCCTGTGTTTGAATTGTACAGTAAAAATGAGTAATTTCCACAAGGGATGGAAGATATAAAAATTTCTCTCCCCCAATATCAGATCAGTGACCAGTCTTCAAATGCCTCCAAATACCACAAGAAAGCAAAGACACTCTGTGTGTTCACTGAACTCCTGTCTCATGCTGGTTACATGTTAACCCTAGATTAAAAAAAAAAACACAGAGAAATACTTAGAGTTTCATCATTTTTATAAAACATACACATATACCTGTGTGTCAGGTGTGTGCGCATTTTGATACAAAATCTTGTGTCCCAGAGCAGAGACCAGCAATATTGACCATTACTGCTTTTATTGTACTGAAGGTTCATCGCCTTAAGGGACTGCAAATCATATAAATATATAAATATATATATATATATATATAGACTTGCCAATGTCTGACTGACGATGTCGCCCTTGGTACAATATAGTGTGATATGCTGGTTTCAGATTGTCTTTATGTGACAGCATGGCAGTAACACAGGAGACGTGATGACAGCAGTTCCTAAGAAAAGCACTAGTTTTTTATATCCCTGTTACTAAGAGCTTCCTAGTCTGCCCGTGGCAGACACTTTGACATGAGTAGACATCATGAAAACTTTGTCCTTTGTGTCTTCACCTCACATGTCATCAAAAGACAAAAGAGCAAAGCTACCTGAGTGATGCCTGCTGCATGACCTGCTGGCAGGGGGTGGTGGGGGAGCTCATAGCCCGCTGGGGGAGGGACGTGGCGTGAGCGCTTCTGCAGCTGGTTCCTCAGCTTGGCCACCTGAGGGCAGAATGGAGAGAAAAATGATTCAGGGAGTCACTGTGATTCATTCTGAAAAGGGAGAGGTTACTCCTGTTCCCCCTCAGGGGCTGTTAATGTTTGATGCTGTCAGTGGGAGGGTGCAGCGTGACGGCTGTGAGTATGACTGAGAAACAGGACGACTGATTAATGAGCTGCTATAGTGATTAACTTGCCTCCCTCAGGTGCTCTGCACTGCCCCACGACGCCGAGCGCTTGTGTCCGCCGGCACTCCTCCTTCCTCGGGTCACCTCTGCCCAGGAACTTGGGGTCTTTGAAAAAAATATTATTACAGTGTGGTGAATAAAGAGTCAAGTGTTTGTCTCACAAACCTTAGGGGACTGTGGTAGAAATGGCCTTTTTTTGGCAGCAATTCTAGCTGACCTTTTGGAGGCCCTCTTCCATTTTCTGTTAAACCCAGTGAACTCCAATCAGCACTACAACTTGAGAGTACAACCCAGAAGTGGAGCCCCACAGCTGTTTTGCACACCTGCCCCACAACAGCTGTACAGAGGAAGACGAGAAGAAAACCACCCTGAGCTGCAAAACAGCCCCGCTTCCACACACATAAGAAAACATCCAAACCACATCACTGTAAAGTCTATAAATACAGTGCAAGCATCAGCACTCAACACCTCAGTGCACTTACACATACAGTAACCTTGTTATTCACAAAGTCACATACTGTGGAGGGAAAACAACTAAGACAAACAGAAAACAAGGACTTTCCTGTGCACTTCTTCTTTTGTCAATCACAACTCATAACGGCCGTACCGATTTCTTCACATTTACTCTTGATCTTCTTCCTGCGGGAGTCTGGTTGGCTGCTCCTGGCTGTTGGTTGGGAGCAGACGCCTGGCAGTTCATAATCACCAGGTGAAACCCAGGTTGAGTCGACTCACAGGGTCAGATACTCACAGCTGCGGTGCCTCCTGTCAACTGCCTCACACACTGATCCACTCACCGGTGTCCATGCCATTCATAAGGCAGCTAATATTACAAATTTAGCTCCCACTGTCTGCGGTATGTCATGCCCTCTGTCTCCAAAATACGACCTCTTCTTTAGGTGTCGTCCTCACAACTCAGAAAATTGGTGCCACAACTGCCAGCGGGAGAACGCAGACACCATCTTGTCCTGTCCAGTCGACTCATACATAATGCGATGCCCCAGCTAAATATGTCAGAGCGCGGCATGAGTCAGTCATACAGTGACATCGGTGTAGAGTTACAGCTGCCAACTCCCCCCCGAATCATCCAACACCAACAACCCCACCCTGCCCAAAACATGAACGGGGGGGATCATGGGAGACAAACCTATAAAAAGACTCAAAGGTAGCTGAACATTTCATCTGATATGGCTAGTGTTTCCAGCTTGGATGATGCAGTAATGTGCACGTAATTCCTGTTTACAGTGTGGCCACAATAATAAAAATAAGGCTGCAACTTATGCTAATGCTTACGCTTCCTTTGACTATTAATTGACTTGTTGTTGTTGATTAACTATGTATTTATCAGTCTGCAAAATGCCACAACATATTGCTTGTTTGGTCTGGTCCAAAACCAAAATGATATTCAACTTACAGTTACATAAAACAGAGAAAAGCAACAAATTCCTTACATCCGAGAGGCTGGAGGAAGGGAATATTTTGTACTTTTGCTTGATAAATGCCTTTTGGTTATCAAAACTATTGGCAATTCTTTCCTTTTGATCAACAAACTGGTTGATGGACTACTTATTTCAGCATTAAACAAGAACAACTTACACTGAAATGCAATCTACTGACCCTGAGATAGACTCTGCCTTACACATTTCTTGTTTAGAATGGTTTGATTAATTATTTGTGTTGTTGTTGGACTGCATTGGATTATATGGCCTGCCATAATAGAATTTTGTCCACATACACACTTACATAACTGTAAAATTACTGCATAATAAAAGGTTAACTACACATATAATATAATCCACGGTCCACTTTGTAATAGAGCTTCAATGATTAATCGATTAACCAGCTAGTTGTAAACTATTAAATGAGTCACAAACTAATTTGACAATAGATTAATCGATTTCAGTCATTTTTATGAAAAAAAAAAAAAAAAAAAAAAAAAGTGAATACTTGTGGTTTCTTTGCTCCTCTATGACAGTAACCTGAATATCTTTGGGTTGTGGACAAAACATGACATTTGAAGACGCCATCTTGGGCTTTGGGAAGCTCTGATCAAAATTTTCACCATTTTATAAATTATTTTATAGCTGCAGCCTTACTGTGTAAAGTAATGTTATTTTTCTTTTGATTTTGCATATGTATGGCCAGAAGATGTATGTCACACTGTTGTGATGTTTGAAATAGTGATGTCCTGTAATCCCATGTGGTGTTGCCAAAATGCTCGGCATGACAAAGACATAAAAACTAACTGACTTACTATAATCTCATCATTTTAAAATCTCCAAATGTATAAATCCACATCAGAGATGTTATGTATGCTTTGCAGGAAAACTGAGGGAGTGCAACAATGTGCCTGATGAAGAATGAAACAAACAATCAGTTATATCATCTGAAGTAATTCAGAGGAACTATGGCAGGAGGAGCTGGGTGGGATGGTGTGTATGTGTGTGGTTGCGTTGAGTGCTGGGGGATGGGGTGTCTGTATAATGAGGTCAGGAGGGGTCTGTTCCTCACAATGGAGGCAAAGGGGGTTCGTTCGGGTTTAAACTGTGTCAGGAGCGATGGCGAAGCCACGGAGCTTGGTGATGTTACTCGGGGCTTTGTGCACTAGTTAAGAGCTGATACAGTCGAGGGGGGGGAGCGAGGGGAAGAACAGCAGAGTTTAAAGAAGAACAAAAACGACTATTTCCAGTTGGCTGCCTTTCACCCGCAGCGTTCAACAGGAACCACCAGACACCTGCAGAGCCAACATCAGATATCTTGTCCTCTATAGAAATCCTTAACATACAAGAAAAGCAAGGCAGGGGAAACATTTGGTCTGTGACATGAAGCAACAGGTTTTACAGGGACACGCTACCACACCAGCAGCAGCTCTGGTATAACAGACTGCCACATCATGGGTTTTGTTAAATTACAGTAATCACAACCAAGGTATCACCAATAATTTGACAGTTGCATGATGTATTAATATTCACCTGCGTGGCTTTGTCATTGACACAGGTGACAGCTGTGCACTCTGCCTCCTTGGGCCACTGTCCCTGCAGATAGGGTCCAACGATGGCATCCAAAGAAAGAGTTCTCCGGATGGTGGGTTTCGGTGGGCGAGCACTTGTCCTGTCAGCTTTTGGAGACAGAAATCAGACATATTAAGTGAGTGAGTTGTCAGGGTTGTGTAAGCTTTAACTCAATACTTGTCAGAACAATGTCTGTCTTGCAGGAGTTATAAATATTCTTGCCTGTGTGATCACGTTTAGCTTGTAGTAACACTGCATGTATGTGTAGAAAAACTCCTCTTAGAGGGGCTAAACAGTATTTTAACACCAGTTGTTCACAAATTGCTCCCAGGCTTCCTCCCCACCAATAGCCGCTCAGTGTGTAGAGTTGTGTGTGTGTATGTTGGCAGCTCTTTGTAATCTCTGGCAGGTGTGGACCCATGCCTTTGACCTGGAGCAAAGCCATGCAACTACAGAGCATTGGCAACAGTACATCAACCACCAAACACGCGCACACACACACACACACAAACACACACACGGTATGTTGTCATGTTGCAGGGCAGACGGGATGTATAAATACACGGCACAATGTGCAGATGTGACTTGCACAAACACACTTAAAGAACAACAAAGAGGCCTTGAAAGCTGCTGCTGTGTTCGCATGAAGCATGCAGCAGAGATCCCACAGGTCAGAGTGCAAAGGGGCGACTGAGTGTCCAAATAACATTATGAGAACAGTGTTATTTTTCAGGGTTTAGCAGCCTTCATTGTTGACTTAACTTTCTCATGGCACATTAGAAACTTACTTTTCAGACAACAAATCGAGTAAAAAGTTGGAGAGAGGTGTGGCTTTTGAAATCACCAAATCAAACCTGCTTTTCTTGATCTAATAATTTGTTGTACTTTTCTTAAATTAAATGTTGCTTATCAATAATTTCTGCATGAGAGCATGAGTTAAAATGTGAGAACTCAGTCATTCGAAAATGAACACTTGTTGACTCACAGTTGGTGAGTGCCTGGGACTGACTTTTTGTGCTTTCCTTAAGACTGCAACCAACTACTGACTATTTGCACTATTGATCCATCTCCTGATTCATTTCTCCATTAACCAATAAGTTGTTTTGTCTATAAAATGCCCATCAGAGTTGTTCAGACCCCCAACTTTTGTCCAAAGCATTAAATTATTGAATTTACAATGGCGTAAAACAGGAAAAAAAACTGCAAATCTTCACACTGGAGAAGCGGAATGACAAAATGTTTGGCATATTTGCTTGGCAAAGGACTGAAACCATTAATTAAAATTGTTGCTCATTAATTTTCTGTCCATTTATTAATCATCTCAGCTCTACTTTTCTCTGTGATACAATAAAGAAAAGGAGAAATGTGTGAATCACTTGACCATAGGTAGGATCATTTCTGAGGTACATATTGATCATAAAGTGACACCATGCAAACTTTTTCACACTGGACCACATGGAAATGAGTGCAGCTTAAATGAATGCCTCCCCCTGAGTGTGTATTTACCCGTCTTGACCTCCCTGCAAAGGAGAGCTGAGCCCCTCTGGAGCTGGTATGGGACTGTGGCTCTGAGGGGCTGCAGGTTGGGGTTGCTGCACCCCCGAGGCGCTCCTCCACTTCTGCCGGACATCCCCCACTCTGAGAACGGCTTAAGAAAACACACACTTCTTCGCTTTTCTTCCTCCAGTCGTTCACTTCAACTATGCGCGTCGCTCAGTTCACACTCATCCTCAGCGGCGATCCAAAACTCTGATCGGGCCTCTTGATGGACACCCAGCTTCTTCTTGAGCTTTCTTTTGTGGTAATGATCATGTTTTTTTTTCTTATTTTAGGGCTGAAAAAGGAGAGGCGAGCTGAGTCCAGCTTTGTCGTTCAATGCATCTTCACAAATCCTTCATTTTGCAGAGATAATACCACCACCAGCTGCAGAGACTACGAGCTGCTCTCGTACATCTCCGCCTGTAACTCCTGTCTGCAAACTGAAAACACAACAGAGGAGCTCAACCTGTGTATATAAGCACGAGTCCTGTGTGTGACTCCAAGGCAGGACGATCTGATTGGCTGCTGCGGAAGACGTTGTCAGCACTTATTGGTCGCTCCATCCATCCATCTCCTGGGTGGACTCAAGAAGTTTGGTTTTGTCCCCCCAGGATCCAGAGCCACAGGAGCCCAACCTGTACTTCTCTCTCAGACTGCCAGCTGCTCTGACTCAACAGATTCATTTGAACCTTTTTAACTTACTGCATTTATAATTCAGAAGTATCTACTGGGTGCAATAGTTCAGCTCCTGCAATATTCTGTGCAAGTATTCAGCAGTGCAGTAGTTTTTATTAACATACAATGCACATAACTGTACATATTTCTCATGTTTACTCAGATTCTATTGTGTTTTTTGTTTTGATGCTGATGTATATATTGTAGTTCACTGTCACACTTACAGCCTCAGCTCAGTGACGATATATATTTTATTTTAATATTTTGATTTTTAGATCTTAAGCACGGGTGTTAAACAATGTAGCATAATGCACATTTTATTTATTTGTATTTATTTTATTCATTTTAATACACATTCTTATTTGTACTTTATTTTACTGCTTTATATTGACACACTTTATTTCATACTCTTATTCTTACTTCTTATAATCCTCCATTCTTTACATCAGAGCAACTGTAATGAATCATAATTTTCGCTCTGGGATCAGTAAAGTATTTCTGATTCTGACTCTGAAGGGGAAACCTCACTCCTTAAAAACCACAACTTTTTTCTCATGGCCCCTCCCCTCCTTCCCTTAAAACCTTTAAAGTGTGGTTCAGGGACCCCTCAAGGTCACTACAGAGGGTCAGAGGGTCCAGACTTCACCATGAATATGCTTTGATATGAGAGAAAACGTGTCACTTTTCTCTGTTTGCATTTAGATGCAGCTAATTCAAGTGAGTAATAATATACACAGTAATATTCAGTTCAATATTATGTCATTATCCATTCAGTCCTCCAACAAATCATTTCCTTGCCTAAATACACACATTTTGTTCTTGACACATGCATTCACAATAAGTATTTAACTTGCTGAAGCATCATGAAAGGCCTTTTTTGTGCTGTTACATGGCTTTAAAGGTTCTGCATTGGACATTTAGAGCATTAATATAGCAGCAAACAACTGAGGGTGAGCATTGCCGTCTCGATATCAGCGCTAACCGTCATATGAGCGCAGTGCAGAGCTAAGGCAACGAGCTAGCCAGTGGGATACATATGCACTAACATGAATGTGCAGCTAGGCCAGCATTACTGTAACAAAAAACAGAGAAGCCCAGATTACAACACACACAGAGGGAGCGTGACTTCATTCTCTGCTCAGGACGCTATCACTCCACTACATCATTGAATAGCAAATACTTGTTTACTGCTATATTAATGCTCTGAGTGTCATATTAAGAACCTTTAAACCATATCTTTTGCTTAGATTTGTTATTATTGCTGCAAATAAATCATGAAAGGTCACACAATGCAGAATGAATTTTGTGTGTGTTTTTCTGTAATACTTTACTATTACGATTATGTTTTTCTTGTATTCTTCCTTACAAGGAGATCAGAGGTCATGGTCTGCTATAAAACCACAGCCGTGCAGGGGGAGAGAGCTTCAGTATCTTGGTAATGGATACTTCAGCAGAACAGGGTTTTTGCAGGTTGACTGAAAATTTTACAGTCACTCAAAGAATAGTTTCATCCATGTGGCTAAATGTTTATCTTGTTTTTAAAAAGTAGCTACCCACGCTCTTCCCTGTAATACCCTCAGGTTATTTTTAGGAATTAATGAGCAATCTGGGCATTCCTGCAATATGTTACACCATATAATGTCAAACCACAAGATGGAGCCAAAGCACATGTCACACACAATTAGCTGCTCCAGCCAACTCCATTAACCTCCTGTTTTGGAACCATTTCTAAAATCCCTGCTTTTGGCCTCGTCTTTCAGTTTTACTCTACATACAACGTTGTGATGAAAACAAACAGACACACATAATGGAAAAAGGCAGTTTATTGCAACACAAAACCAAAAAATAATCCAATGTATGCGTGTAAAAAGAACATACTGCTGTACTGAATAAAATCAAATAAATGAACATGTGGTAGCTTAAGATCTGATAGATTCAATAAATAGCTGCACAGATTTAAACAGTGTTTGATTACTCAAGCAGGAATGATATGCACGTTCAGGTGTGGCAGACCCCAGATACAATCCAGTCACACCCATAAAACATACCTCAGGACAGTCTGTAAAAACCCATCCTCTACTTTGTATGTATAACCTGTATCTCTTAAAATGATCATCACATCTCTCTCTTTGCAAATGGCTGCATCCAAAGAGCTGCAAGTGCTGTTTTGGTTACATTTTGACAAGAAAATTGAATAAAACAGGCACACAAACACACAGACGATGCCATGGGGGAGAATACTGATATTCAAATAAGGAGCAAGATGTGGATACACAATTTAAGGAAATAAATGGATGCTTTGGAAAAAAAAGGTTTGACAGGAGTTTGCAGAGGAATTGCACAATGCTGGATAACAGGATTCACAGATAGTAGAAAGTGGTTGTGGGAGAGTGCGAGAGAAGAGTCGAGCAGATAAGGCGAGGTGAAGGGAAAGAACCAAAAGAGATGGATCCTTGTAGCTTCATGATGACTTCATTCTCATGTGTACAAAAATCCAGAGATGGTATGATGATTTTCCTGTTCTCACGAAGCTGTCGATGGTCTCGGTGGATTGTGGCAGCAGGGTTTTGGTCGGGGGGTTACGGTCAACGCAGCATCACCAGGCAGACAGGCTGGGGGTTTAATCTCTGTAGTTGTTGGTCTCGAGCTCCTAGCTGGGAGTGAGCGCAGGGCTTGGTTCAGTGCTGATGTTGACCAAACACTCGCTGGACTTGAGGCTGGCCAGGGACTTGGAGCTTGGTAAAGAGGCCAGAGAGCCGCACAGACCCAGCATGGAGGGAGTGTTGTCTTTTCCTACGGGGAGAAAAAGAGAGCAAAAAAAAAACACAATAAAATTGCGACTGATCATGCATACTTCAAGCTGCCCACATAAAGCACCATAAACAGCCATCAAGCCTGCCTTTGTATGAGCACTTATGTACATGTGCATGGGTGGCTGCATCTGAAAGGCTTTTATGGAGCCATGGAAGGGGTGCAAATATATTCCTACTCAAGCAGAAATGTTACTTTATGATTGTGTTTTCTCTGCTGGAGTATAACGAGTAAAATGTAGCTTATCTAACATGTTCTCAGTTACTTTGGAAGATTGTATTAAATGGCTTAAGTGCAACAAATAATAAAAGCACAACACAAATCTTTGCACGTTTTAAATGTTGCAATGAGGATGACGTGATGAATGTAGTAGCAGTTAAAAGCATTTTTACCTGCTGTAGTCCAGGCAGCATCTCCGTTCTGTCTCCCATCAGCCCTTTGGGAGTCAGAGTTCAGACTGACCTCAGCAGAAAGTTGCTCCAAACTGTGGAAACTCCTCCTGGATGGACAAAAATATCATCAAAGTTCTGCACATTAATTGCATCTATCAACAGCTGCTTACTTATGCTATGTCTGGTATTTACCCATAGGGATCATATATAAAGATTTATGAATATACAGTAGGCTCATAAAAATAAAACATACCTGCGGAAAAGCTTGACATCACCCTGGTTGTTTGTGATGGTGGACCACTGGTTGACCAGCGGGATGGAAAGATCTTTAGTCAGGTGGGAGGAATCACAGGGCATGAGGGCAGAGCTGCACAAAGCACAGCACAGATAATTAAATTCAGACATGACACTTTTAACTATAGCAAGCAAATATGCATCTGAACATTCAAGTGGCAGAAAAAATCAGGTATCTCTTGTGAATTTCAATGAGCCACTTTTTTAAAAAGTTATTAATATCAATCCACTCCCTGATGTTGTTACAGCACCTAATAGTGCCCCAATGCATCTTGCATCATAAACCGGCATAATCAAAAATTTCACCTGCATCAAATTTCAGTTTCTTTTTATCTTCAATTGAAAATATGACCAGTTATATTAAAGCGGGGGTAGGCAATTTACTTTTTGCCTCACTGGCCAAAAATCCCACAATAAACTTTGAGCATACTGTAACTCAAGTTGACTGAGAGAAAAAGTGTCTACGCTATAAAGTGACACAAAAAAGGAAGATGGACTTATCAACTTAAGAGAGAGTCTGATAAAAAATGAAATAAAACATCTATGTGTCAGCCCTGCGATAGTCTGGCGACCTGTCCAGGGTGTACCCTGCCTCTCGCCCAGTGTCAGCTGGGATACGCTCCAGCCCCCCCGCGACCCTCAAGAGGATGAAGCGGTTAGAAGATGGATGGATGGATGGATGTCAATATCTGCAATATGTTTCAGAGATGGAGAGAAAATGTTGCTAATAGTTTAGCCCTCTGCAAACAGCAGCCAAAGCCTCATAGCTACAACTTAAGGTTTATGTTTATGTAGCCTCAAATCACAATATGTCCTCCCACTCACTCCCTGCCGCTACAGACCACCTCTGGGAGGAGAGCAGGCAGTAGCTCTGCAGATGGACCCCAATCTGCAACCACAGCAACCCGAATCCAGCAGAGCTTCCCCAGCTCTGGGGAATGGACATCCTGACTCCCCGCCATAGGATGGCTGAGTGAATAAGCTGTGCGCAACTGAACAATGAAATAGGATTTTAAAAAATCAATGTATGGGAAAAATAATTTAGTGTAAGAAGGGCATGCATATGCCCCTGGTCACCTTTTCCAAATTTCTGCCAACCCCAGCTTTAAGTAGTTATATGAACTGCGAGGATCCTAAGGACAGAGGGATGTCATTGGCTGTAAAGTCCTGTGAGGCAAATTGTGATTTGTGATATTGGGCTTTATAAATATAATTGAATTAAATATGAACGATAACTGATTTTCTACAGAAGAAAATCT